GGTGTGTGTGTGGGGTGGGGGATGGTATATGTGTGGGATTGGGGATGGTGTGTGTGGGGGGCACTAGTAGCAACAATAAAAACATGACATTGAATTATTTATAAAATGGGTTTCGATAAACGAGCTTTTTAAAGGCAAGCTAAAATGAAAAAGTTGGGATGCATTTCATTAGCCTCAATATATCAAATGGAACCACGACGAAGATACTTTTGTTTTCACATTTATTTTTGCCACTTTAGCACAAAAAGAGTTGGTTTCTAAGGCCAGTTTGTTTAGGACAATGTGTTTATTTCTTTTTATGCATCACAATCAAGTGGAGATATTTACACTTAGAAATGCTAATCATTATCAAAACAAAAAGTGCACACTGTTTATTAGGTCAGCTGAACCAGATCTACTAGAATCTAATTCTCTTCATGGGCTTTTGTGTAACTTTCAGTACCCCAGGGTCATCCGTTCTCCCCTTGGGATGGGGTAAAGCTTATTTATAATTTGCCAATTTTGAACAGAAAATAGTTCAAACTTGGTTGGAATAATTATAATGAAATGTTTATTAGATGGAATAAGAAAGTATGATCCCGCCTCACCCCAGGGGCCAGTGGAACGGGGCCGAAATGGGGAGAATGGCTGATATTTCAAAATTCCTCTTCCTCAGACTCAGATGTACTAGAATTAAATCTGACTTCATGCATAGAAAGATCCTTTGGAACTTTCACCAAAGTTAAGATTTCATTACCTCGGGGTCATCTAATCTCTCTTAAGGAAGGGATACCTTTGTATATAGTTTGTGTAGGGAAATAACACTTGGGTATGATTTGACCATTTGTATATAGTTTGTGTAGGGAAATAACACTTGGGTATGATTTGACCATTTGTATATAGTTTGTGTAGGGAAATAACACTTGGGTATGATTTGACCATTTGTATATAGTTTGTGTAGGGAAATAACACTTGGGTATGATTTGACCATTTGTATATAGTTTGTGTAGGGAAATAACACTTGGGTATGATTTGACCATTTGTATATAGTTTGTGTAGGGAAATAACACTTGGGTATGATTTGACCATTTGTATATAGTTTGTGTAGGGAAATAACACTTGGGTATGATTTGACCATTTGTATATAGTTTGTGTAGGGAAATAACACTTGGGTATGATTTGACCATTTGTATATAGTTTGTGTAGGGAAATAACACTTGGGTATGATTTGACCATTTGTATATAGTTTGTGTAGGGAAATAACACTTGGGTATGATTTGACCATTTGTATATAGTTTGTGTAGGGAAATAACACTTGGGTATGATTTGACCATTTGTATATAGTTTGTGTAGGGAAATAACACTTGGGTATGATTTGACCATTTGTATATAGTTTGTGTAGGGAAATAACACTTGGGTATGATTTGACCATTTGTATATAGTTTGTGTAGGGAAATAACACTTGGGTATGATTTGACCATTTGTATATAGTTTGTGTAGGGAAATAACACTTGGGTATGATTTGACCATTTGTATATAGTTTGTGTAGGGAAATAACACTTGGGTATGATTTGACCATTTGTATATAGTTTGTGTAGGGAAATAACACTTGGGTATGATTTGACCATTTGTATATAGTTTGTGTAGGGAAATAACACTTGGGTATGATTTGACCATTTGTATATAGTTTGTGTAGGGAAATAACACTTGGGTATGATTTGACCATTTGTATATAGTTTGTGTAGGGAAATAACACTTGGGTATGATTTGACCATTTGTATATAGTTTGTGTAGGGAAATAACACTTGGGTATGATTTGACCATTTGTATATAGTTTGTGTAGGGAAATAACACTTGGGTATGATTTGACCATTTGTATATAGTTTGTGTAGGGAAATAACACTTGGGTATGATTTGACCATTTGTATATAGTTTGTGTAGGGAAATAACACTTGGGTATGATTTGACCATTTGTATATAGTTTGTGTAGGGAAATAACACTTGGGTATGATTTGACCATTTGTATATAGTTTGTGTAGGGAAATAACACTTGGGTATGATTTGACCATTTGTATATAGTTTGTGTAGGGAAATAACACTTGGGTATGATTTGACCATTTGTATATAGTTTGTGTAGGGAAATAACACTTGGGTATGATTTGACCATTTGTATATAGTTTGTGTAGGGAAATAACACTTGGGTATGATTTGACCATTTGTATATAGTTTGTGTAGGGAAATAACACTTGGGTATGATTTGACCATTTGTATATAGTTTGTGTAGGGAAATAACACTTGGGTATGATTTGACCATTTGTATATAGTTTGTGTAGGGAAATAACACTTGGGTATGATTTGACCATTTGTATATAGTTTGTGTAGGGAAATAACACTTGGGTATGATTTGACCATTTGTATATAGTTTGTGTAGGGAAATAACACTTGGGTATGATTTGACCATTTGTATATAGTTTGTGTAGGGAAATAACACTTGGGTATGATTTGACCATTTGTATATAGTTTGTGTAGGGAAATAACACTTGGGTATGATTTGACCATTTGTATATAGTTTGTGTAGGGAAATAACACTTGGGTATGATTTGACCATTTGTATATAGTTTGTGTAGGGAAATAACACTTGGGTATGATTTGACCATTTGTATATAGTTTGTGTAGGGAAATAACACTTGGGTATGATTTGACCATTTGTATATAGTTTGTGTAGGGAAATAACACTTGGGTATGATTTGACCATTTGTATATAGTTTGTGTAGGGAAATAACACTTGGGTATGATTTGACCATTTGTATATAGTTTGTGTAGGGAAATAACACTTGGGTATGATTTGACCATTTGTATATAGTTTGTGTAGGGAAATAACACTTGGGTATGATTTGACCATTTGTATATAGTTTGTGTAGGGAAATAACACTTGGGTATGATTTGACCATTTGTATATAGTTTGTGTAGGGAAATAACACTTGGGTATGATTTGACCATTTGTATATAGTTTGTGTAGGGAAATAACACTTGGGTATGATTTGACCATTTGTATATAGTTTGTGTAGGGAAATAACACTTGGGTATGATTTGACCATTTGTATATAGTTTGTGTAGGGAAATAACACTTGGGTATGATTTGACCATTTGTATATAGTTTGTGTAGGGAAATAACACTTGGGTATGATTTGACCATTTGTATATAGTTTGTGTAGGGAAATAACACTTG